CTGGCCAGGTAGAACGGCATGAGGACCTGATGGGAGGAATGTATCTACTCGTCAACACGTTATTGCAGGAAGGCCTCGACCAGTCAGGCTCGTTGAACTCGACAGGAAATGTGGACAGAATGGGGCTTTTCGTGCAGAGGAGTACGACGGGATCTACCTAGAGCCAGGACGACGAGTTCGAGGAAGGAGAGATTAAGAAGGCTTTTCGTGCAGAGGAGTACGACGGGATCTACCTAGAGCTGGGGCTTGTTCTGTCATGTGAAATGCGGCTAAGAGATGCGAGCGATAGGGCTCAAATGATGCTGCAGCGCTACTTAGTGCGAGACAGTCACCTTTTCGTGAAAAGGGAAGTGGGGAATCCCAGGAGAGTCGTCTGCGGTAGGAATCGTCAGATCGACGTCGTAGCAGCGTTTCACGATGGTATTGCAGGAGGACATCGAGGGCTACAAGCCACGTATGCCAAGATAAGTGAGTTGTACTACTGGGATGGGATAATGGATATGGTCGGAAAGTACTGCCGATCTTGCGTACCTTGTCAGGAAAGATCCCGTTTAAAGTAAGGAGAGCCGCTGCATCCTAGGCTAGAGCGAGAGGTGGGGGTTGTAGTGCATCTCGATCTACTTTTTATGCCACTTGGGGATCAAGGTTATAACTATATCTTAAATGAGCGCGATAACCTATCTGGGTTCGTAGACGGGCGTGCTATTCGCACAAAGACCGGGTCAGTCCTGGTGAGCTGCATCGAGGAGTACTACCTGCGTTATCCTTTCGTCAGGGAATTCGTAATGGACAGGGAATCAGAGCTTACCCGCCAGGAAGTGCGAGAACTGTTATCAAGGTATGGTGTGGCAGCCAACTACACCACGGCCGCGCACCCCCAGGCAAATGCTCCCGTAGAGAGAGGACATAGTACCATTACGAATCTCCTGGCCAAATGGACCGAAGGTAGGCCTAATCAATGGCCAAGATACCTAAGGGCGGCTTTCTTTGTTGAGAACATTACAGTAAAGAGATCCACCAAGTACGCACCTGCAATGCTGTGGTACGGAAGGCATGCCACCTTCCCTATCGAAAGCTTTCTTAAGACATGGAGGCGCCAGGATCTAGAAGTTAACCTGTCATTTGAAGAGTTGCTCGATATTCGGGCGCGGCAGGTTGGGCGATAGAAGAAGGGATCCAGGAGGCATCTGATCAGGTGGCGAGAAGCCGTATGGATGATAAGGCTCGATGGGATCAGTCTGCGCGAGTGAGGAAAGTACCCTTGGCAGTCGGGGATGTCGTGCTTCTCTACGATACATCGCTGGAGAAGCAGTGGTTCAGGAAGCTCGATAAGAGATGGTTAGGTCCCTACCGAATCACACGGATCAGAGACTTCGGAGCGTACCAGATCGAGGAGTTGAATGGGACTGAGTGGAAGGATTGGGTATCTGGAACGCGACTGAAGAAATTTGTGGCGAGAGAAGAGGTAAGAGAGATGACCTGACCGCCTCTAGAATAGAAATAACAGGGTGTGTAGGTTAGGAAGGATGCATGCAGCATAAGTGTGGTCTGGTCTGAGCTTGCTCTGATTATCACCTGCTTGCTTACCCCAATGTGTGCCTGTTGTCTTCTTCGCCTGTTGTGCAGGTCTGACTTTACGAAGACAGCCATGCCAAGAGGAGGGAAGGGGACACGGCCGCCTCAGAGGCCGTTGGGCTCATTAGGAGGATATGAGCGGCATGGGCCTCACCATCGGGAGAGTACTCCAGTCTACAATGATGGGGACATCGAGCTATTCCTGGACAGTTTCTGGGAGCATGCGAGGCGTATGGGCTGGACCGTCGCTCAGGCGATTGAGAGATTAAGGGGAGCAGGTAGGTTCGAAGAGCCCATTGCCAGGATTCGTAGGGAGGGGACG